AGAAGTCCATTGGCATATGAAGTAATTAATACCCTAAGATCTTGTCACTTAACCTACAAGTAAATGGTAAAACCAGGACTTGAACCCAAGGTGACTGGTTCCGAATCTCCGCTCTTCTCTCTTTAGAGTCACACAGCTCTGGAGAAGTATTTCTGGCCTCTTTGCCCATAAAAATCTGTGCTTCCCCTCCTGTCCTGTAGGAAAAGCTCTCACTGATGATGCTCTAAATGGCAGTCGTGTTCCAAAAGCTGAGAGTAAAGTTTAAACATCAGTCCATCCTTATGAATAATTACCTGGCTGAAACCAGTGCTGGAGAGAAAGAGTCAGGTGGATCCCTGATGTTCTGTGGCCAGCCAACATAGCTGCATTGATGACTTTCGGGTTTAATAAGAGTCCATGTCTCAAATAAAGGAGAGACCCATTGAGGAAAGATACCACATATCAGCCTTTGGCCTCTACATCCAAGTGTACACATGCACACATACACACACATGCATGTACCAACACTCACATGTGTACCCAACCACACAACAAGTACATAGACCACACACAACACAACACAAACATGTATTTTCAAAGGGAACGATGTTCACCTCTTTGACCTCCAGGTGCACTGCTTTATATGCACATATATCGTGTGTATGCATTTGTGTCTGTCTGTCTCGTTCCCAAAGAAACCTAAGACTATCGATTTGATACCACCTGGGACTTCAGCATAGTCGTCCGGTTGCTGTTCCCTAGGAAACTTCTTATGATTAGTGGAAGCCAAGGTGAACAACACAAGGCACTCAGAACCAATCGAAAGCAAAGCAAATGAATGCAGCATCGTAAATGCGGCATCCAGCTTCCTGCTTGAACTCTCCAGCCAAAGAATGAAGGGAACTGATGAAAAGAATGCGGGTGTTTCATCTCAGCTCTGACTGGTGAAGGAAATCTGCCCTAATAGCGTGCATAGCTTTGGTGGTACGAGCTCAAAAGCAATAAGCAGGACCCTGAGAAATAGGAAATAGGCCATACTCTGGGCCCGCTGAAAGCAGCCTCCTTCCAAAGCAGGCGCTGTGATTGCTTCTCCTCGCTGACTGTCGAGAGGAAGGAGGTCAGATTTCACTCTGACTCTCTTTGCTTCTAACTCTTATTTCTACACGGCTGACATTTGTAAATTATCACATGTCACGTAAGTTCTGAAGTCATCCCAGGGGGCATACAGCAGAATGCATGTCCCCTCATAAATGGCAAAACGTTGCCTGAGGAAATGTTTGGCTGTGTTGGCAGGTCACCACACGTAGGAATATTCAGCCATGCTGGCTCAGGAAAACAACAACCACTTATAAGTTGGTCTACACTAAGCTCAGGGTCTCATTAAAACATTAGAATGTGATTTATTATAATCACCCTCATATTGCTAAGCTCATCTGAGGATGTGGGTCAGGGCAAGTGACCAGCACAGGCTCTAGTTGGAAGCAACTGGAACATTCTGAGATCT